TAACGTTTGTTTATTTTTGAGACAGAGAGAGACAGAGCATGAACGGGGGAGGGTCAGAGAGAGGGAGACACAGAATCCGAAACAGGCTCCGGGCTCTGAGCGGTCAGCACAGAGCCCGACGCGGGGCTCGAACTCACGGACCGTGAGATCGTGACCTGAGCCGAAGTCGGCTGCTTAACCGACGGACCCACCCAGGCGCCCCTTAGGCTTCTCTTTTTAACAAGCGAATATGATTTACTCTCTGTTGGTTTGCTCCCCCTTTCGGTGGTCTCCCCAGCCCTGGGAGACACCCCCACTTTCATGGGGAAGAAGTTTCTAGCTTTGGCGTACAAATGTTCGTCCCGCCCCTTCAATCTAGCGAGTGCAATTCGTGTCTGAGCCCTGCAGCCTCTCCGTGAACGGAGTGGTCTTCGGCCTGACGTCCACGGATCTGCTGTTCCACATGGGAGCCGAGGAGATCAGTAGGTGAGAAGCAGTTCTGGGCCAGCAGGCAGGGCACTGGCTTTCTAGACCAAAGAATCGAGGGGCTGCTTGGCAGCCTTGCCTGGGAAGTCCCTAGAGCAGCACTTTGTGCCACACCCTTTGGCCATTACAGTTTCTCTGTCCCCAAGACAGCAACTGGATACGTTTGTTTCTGCTACGTTCGTCTGCAGTGTCAGAGACCCCGAAGAACCACGTCTTTGTGCTTCCTTTATAATCCTAGAAGTTCACCTACTTTCCTTCCCCTCCCACCTTCGTGACCTAGGCAGGAGTGGGCGCCCCTGCTCCGGGAGAATGAACGGGCAGCCTCCCTTACCAGAGCAGGTGTCGTTCTGCAGAATCAGACCCCGCCACACCTGCTGAGCGTAGGTCCGGCAGTTCAGTTCCCCCGTCACCGGAAGGAGTGTGAAGCAGTTGGCGTGTTGGGCGAGATGGGTGTGCGCTTGCTGGCTGTGGTTGAGGGTCACCCCGACTGCACGCCCCCACCCACTGGTGGGCGCCTGGCCCATTCTTGCACGCTGCAGTTCTAGCCAACGGCCCACTATGGTCTCGTCACCAGGGATGCCTGCCTTTTCCCTTCACAGCCCGGTGGCCGGCTCCCCTCCTCAGGTGGGAACAGACCGAGCTCTTTATGGGTGGGTCTTTGAACTTCCCCAGAGGTACCCTCCCATCACCGCACACGGGCCGCGTAGCTTCCCCCTAGTTTATGAAAGCCTCGAGCTCTCCCCAGAGAGAAACAGAAGCTGAAAAACAGGGCTCTGCATTCCGTTTCTTGCTTCTCTTCCTTCCCCAGTTCTTCCGGAACTTCAGACAGACTCAGCCGAATCCTCAAGCACATCCTGACCCAGAGGAGGTGAGCCGGCTCTCTGGAATAACTGACCGTGAAGAGTGTGCTCCGGGGTCCGGGATTTGATTGGGATCAAATCAAATGACGGTGACGGATTTGACTGGGAGCGCCTTCCTTGGGCCAGTCCCAGGGAACTCTGCCCTGCCATGACAAGCCCGCATTCTGTCCCCCAAACACAGAGGAGCAGGAAGGACAATCTGAAAGCATGGATGCAGACAGGGAAGCCATGCGGGAAGGGTGGGGCCCGGATCAGCCACTGCTGACTGTTTCTCTCCGTCTCTGTAGCTACTACCCGCTCTACCCTCCCCAGGAAGACATGGCCATTGACTATGAGAATTTCTACACCTACGCCCAGCTGCCTGTCACCCCAGACGTCTTCATTATCCCATCAGAGCTGAAATACTTCGTGAAGGTGGGTTTGGACTCTGCTTTTTCCCAGAAATGCCAGAACCGGTCTTTGACTTCCCCTTCTAGACCACTGGTCCTCGCTCTTCGTGCTGGGGACGGTGGCCTCGTTTGTTTGGGAGAGGTGGTAAACTAATCTGTTAGTAAAACGTGTAAGGAAAAAGGCATCCCCCTGCTCGCCTGTGCCCCGGAGCATGGTGCTCCGTCGGCCCAGCCTGGGAGTCCCAGGGGCGGGCAGGAAGCCCCTCAAACAGTGGCTGTCAGCTGGGGCCATGTCAGGGTGACCTGGAGAGGTTTCACACTTGCACTTGCCTGCCCCCGCCCCTGAATGCGGATGTGACCTCCAGGGGGATTTCAGCCCTTTGGCTCTTTATCATCTATGCCACCCGAGGCCTGTCCCCCCCGCCCTGCTCCGGGGTGGGTCCCTCACAGGGGATCCTCCCGACCAGTACCCCTCTGGCCAACCCAGAGCCATTTCGTCCTCAGGAGGTAGACATTTGTCCCCAAGTCTGGGAGCCTATTGTTACCCTGCCGGTTCACCTCCTTCATTCTGTTTCAGAAGCTCCTAAGGAATTCAGGGTTTTCCAATAATAAGTTAACAGACCAGACTTGAGATGGGTTCGGCCTGCCTTTCCATTTTATAAACCCCTCACTGGGGTCTGACGGTTAGATGATTCCAACTTTCTCACGTCGGCCCCTCTCCTTTCCCCAGGACGTCCTCGGCTGTGTCTGTGTGAACCCCGGGCGCCTCACCAAAGGGCAGGTGGGGGGCACCTTCGGCCGACTCCTCCTCAGGAGGCAGCGGGCTGAGGACGGGGAGGGGAGGCGGAGTCCGTGTGCGGCCGCCCAGGTGGTCAGGATCTGAGGCCCCGGTGCTCCGTCATCCCCCGTCATGCGGCCTCGCGGACACGTGAGCCCAGGAGCGGCCGTCCCACAAGAGCCCAGGCGTGGAAAGGTAGAGGAAGCAGGCAGCGAGCTGGAGAAGAGGCTGCGGGGTCCAGGCCTGGCGGGCAAGGCCTCGTGCAGCTGGACCCTGACTCTGAGTTGAACTTCTTGGGAGGAAAGCTGTTTCTTCAAGTACACGCAGAGTCCAGAGAGAACCGGCCGTGGACGCGGCGTGCTCCGAAAACGCAAGAAGGCTTTTTGATTTTTCTACTTGATATCAGACACGGAAACAACTTTTGGAGAAGTAAAAGTAAATTCTGAGGAGAACTGCTGAGTTTAAATCTTCTTCCGCTCTCTCTTTTTCCCGGTAGAACGAAGAACATTGCCCCCCTGACCTGTGCCCAGAGAAGGCAGAGCATCTGTCACACTGGGTTTCTCTCCAGCCCCAACCCTGATCCCCGCCCCCGCCCCAGGCCCCTGAGGCCTCTGTGCTGAGGAGGTGTGCTGGGCTGGGGCCCTGGGCCCGGGCTACAGAGCAAGCAGCTGGCTGCGTGCCCGGCCCTCCCCGCGCAGCCCTCACATGCATGCCGTGGTCCCAGCCTGACCTCTCCATCTGGAGGGGGCGGCCGCACGGAGCCGTGCCAAAGCTGGATTCCCTGGTGCCGACCCTGCCAAGTCGCACAGCGTGGCCCGGTGCTCGCCCATAACCCCGAGCACTTGGACAGCAGGGCCCTCCGGGGTCCCCCGACGTCCCGTGTGTCCTGGCATCTGGGGAAAGGCGGTCACTGGTCAAATGCGGGGTGGGTTTCTGCCCAAAGCTGGCAGGCTGCCCTGCCTCGTATGCCAAAGCCAAGACCGGAAACCCCAGCTCCTGGGCCGAGGGAAAGTGCGGGAGGGAGCAGCGGGTGTCAGTGCCTATGCCCTGAGTCAGAGATAAATAGGTGATTGAGCGGTGTCCAACCTTTGCCTCCCACCTGGGACAGTGAGGTGGAATCAACGGCAGGTCTGACCAGGCTTGGGTGAAACTGGTCTCCCTTTGAAAACAAGCAGCTGCGGTTTTGCTTCATTCACTTTATAGGCGCCTCGTCTGAAGACAAGAACCAGGGACAAGCCCCAGCTTGGGGAGCTGATTCTCCCTCAAGATCCCCTGCACGTGAAGCACCCAGCTGCGGGGTAGGGGACCTCATGTCTTTGTCTCCGGATGTGGCATTTGGGGAGTCCCGGGCCCCTCTTCCACAACCTTGAACCCCAGTTCAGGAATAGCATTTGTACGTCTACCAATCCCAGGGTCGGCTAAAAGCCTGCCCCTCCCCGCCTTGGAAAACCCTTGCCTGGGAAGATTCACCACCAGGCCCTTGGCCATGATAAACAAGCCTCTGAGCCCTTATCTCGTGAACCCATGTGTGGCTCTCAGGGAGCCACGGCTCTTGGCAAGTATCCTGGTGTTGCTGCTGAAGAAGCCTCGCGGGGAATTGTAGTGTCTTTGTCCTCACTTGGCAAGGTATAAAGCCCCTTCTCCCCTTATTACAGACTCAGCCATCTGAGTCCAGAGGCCCTGTGAGATGGGGCAGTTGGCAGAGGGGGAGGAAAGACCCGCGGGGGGGGGGTGCGGGGGGAGGCGTGTGCAGGGCAGACAGAGGCAAGGGGGTGCAGCCTCCCGGGTGAGAAAGCAGGCGCTCAGCATGAATGGGAGCGCGAGTCCGTTGCCTGGATACGAGTCGTGTGACTATTGGAAGTGATCGGGGAGGGCCAGGGCAGGCATCTAAAACTCGAACAGAAAGCAGGATGCGAACCCCAGATTGCAGACAGGTCTGGCGGGCATGTGCCTCTCTGCCACCAGACGGTCCCTTTGGCTCTTGTCAGGAAGTCGGTGCCCAGCTGAGCCAGCTGGCTGCTCCTAGGCCCCTTTTGAGCTGGGTCGCTAATTTCTGGAGTCTTCCTCCCTCTCGCTCCCGCCTGCGCTGGGGCACGCGACCTCTGGAGTAAGGCTCTGGGTCTGGAGTGAGGCTCTGGGAGGGCCATCGGTGAGGAGGGAGGGTGGAGGAAGCCGAGGAGCCGCGGCCTGGCCAGAGCGCCAGGGATCCACCTGCTTCAGAACCCCCTTTTGCTCAATGGCACCTCCTCTGGTCCTGGGCGTGCCCGTGTCCTCGGGACACAAGCCTTAGGGTGGAGCAGATGGTCCTGAGGAAACAAAGTCTCTGTACTCTTACCCAGTTCCACACCTCCATGTCCCAGCTGTTGTGCCCCCTCAGGGCCACCCGGGCTACCAACCACCTCTTCTGGTGCCGGTAGAGCCTGAGGCTGCCCTCGCTTAACCCCTGCATGGCCACCTTTTAGAATCCAGGCTCTGTCTCTAGGAAGGTCAGGGGTGAGCTGCTGAGGGGAACCCAAGTGGATCCCCAGAACAAAACTGGGGGCTTGGGGCGGTGGGGGCACCCGGAGGGGGGCTGGGGCAGGGCCATGACTCTGCTCCTTGGGGCCCGTATCCTGCCTTTCTGCAGCTACTTTGGGCCCGGTGTTTCCTTTCCCTTGACCTAGGGTCACCCGGCCCGGCTCAGCCTGTCTTGCAGCTTCCCCTGGTGCTGGGAGTAGCCTTTTGGGCTGATATTTCATTTCTGTTTGGGACACATTTCCTTTCCCCTGACCCTGAGGCTCCTGGCCGAGCCCCCCACCCCACCCCAAGAACCAGTCTTGGTTGGCCACACGGGGCTCTTCCTCCGGACTTGAGCCTTTGAACTCACCATGAAGGGCCTTGACTGATGGCGGGGCAGGGTGGGGGTTAACATTTTAAAATTTATTGAGATCTGGCAGCATCACCTTTACCATTTTAACGGGCACCATGCTGTGCTTTTTAGTACACTCGCAATGTTGTTTGAACATCATTACTATGTGATTCCAGAGGATTCTCATCACCTCTGAAAGAAACCCCATCCCCACTAGGAGTCATACCCCTCCCCCTCCCTGCCCCCATCCCCTAGAAAACACAACTCTACTTTCCGCCTCGACAGCCTGGTCTGTTCTGGGCGCATCATAGAAATGGAATCATACGACACGTGGTCCTCTGTGGCCGGCTTCGCTGAGTGTCCCGTTTTCAGGGGTCACCATACCGTAGCAGGTGTCAGTACTTAATTTCTTTTCCTTTTTTGAGTGATTTCCCATCGTACAGATAGACGGCATCTTCTTCATTCACTCAACGGGGTGATGGACCCTGGGGCCGTTTCTAGTTTTGGGGCTGTTGGGAGTGACGCTCCCTGGAGCACCTGGGTGGCTTAGGTGGCTAAGCATCCAACCCGATTTGGGCTCAGGTCGTATCTCACGGTTTGTCAGTTCGAGCCCCGCGTCAGGCTCTGCGCTGACAGCGCAGACCCTGCTTAAGATTCGCTCTTCTCCCTCTCTCTCTGCCCTTCCCCCGCGCATGCTCTTTCTCTCTCAAAATAAACTTAAAAAAAAAAAAGAAAAGAATGATGCTCCCGTGTTTGTGTGAACCTAGGATTGGTGGAGAAGGGGCTTTGGGTTTATGGCGGAAGGAATGCAAGCAAAGAGGAAAGCAAGGAGGAAGGAGAAAGGAAAAGAGGGACAGAAAGAAGTGGTGGGCCTGGAATGGAGCTTTGGAGCCAGACCGCGAAGTCAGGAATGCCTCGCAGAGGAGTTTGGACTTGACTCCGTGCACCCTAGGGAACTGGTAAAGGCTTCGGAGTGGAGCAGATGGACAGTATGGAGCCTGTGCCTTAGGCCTCGCAGTGCCGCAAAGGGCAGAGTGAAGCTGGGAGAGGCTGGAGGCCAGAGGCACCTAAGAGCTCTCGGAAGACACAGCCTCCCAGTACCTACTCTCGATTCCTATGGAAACAGTACCCCAGTTTCCCTGTGGGGAACCACTCCCCCCTCCTCACTCCTCCCTGGCCTAAGCCAAGCAGCACATCGCATCTCCCTGGCCTCGGTGAACAGCCAGGGATGGGCAGGACCTAAGACAGGGCAAACACAACGACTCCCCAGGACTTCCGTGGAAGGGGTAGAAAACAGGCAGCCGCAAGGGTGGGGCTGCTGCAGCCATCTTGCCGCCATGAGGGAAACCCATTGTGAATGTGGACTAAACCAGAGGACACAGAGCCAAGAGATAGAGGTCAGTGCCAGGCCACGTTGTCTGAGCTCTGATGAGGCTCGCCCCCCCAAAATCTAAGCCACAAACACCACCCCCCTCTTTTTTTGCTTAAACTAGTTGGAATCGAATTTTCTGTCATCTGCAACCAAAACAATGAAGGCCTGATCCAGGACCCAGGATCGGGATGACTGCCAGGGCACAGACGGAGAAGACACAGCTCAGGTAGGAAGACAAGGGAGTTAACGTTTCTGAGGACGTACTGTGTGCACTTTGACACGGAGATCGCGTCGAACTCCCAACAAACCCTGCTGGCAGGTGCTAAGAGGTTGGAGGTCACCAGCCTGAGTAAGTGACGGAGCTGGGATTTCAACTCCAAACCCCTCATCTCTCCAACCCTGCCACGCTAACCAACCTGGCACGCAACAAGGACAGACTGAAAAGGAGTCACAGGTAGCCGCCCAGGGACCTGGGAGCATGCGAGGAAGGAGTTGAGGAGAGGTGCTTAGGGACGTGCCTGGGACTACCGGGGGCAGGCTGGGACTGAGGGGGGCACCCAAATGGCTACCGAGCTGGGCTGTCCGGTGACAGGAGTAGCACTCTGGTAAGGAGTGGGGACCGGACAGGTTGATCTGGGAGTCGCCTACATAAAGCTCACTGCACTGAAAAGCTGCCGAACTGACAGGTACTGGGAGGCACTGGGGGTCTGCCTGAGGGGTGGGGGGTGGTAGCTGGAGGTAGCTGACATTCCTGGCCTCCCAGTCTGCGGGTCACTGAGGTGGCTGTCACTGAGGTGGGACTCAGCTGCAGTCGGACATTTGGACCCCTCTGTCATCCTGGGTTCTCTATCCTTGAGCAGCCAGGCCTATCTGCTCCCTCTGGGT